GAAACCCCAACCAAAAAAAAAAAAAAAAAAAAAAAGTTCTTAGAGGACAATTCTCAGACAAGAGTTATGCAAATTTCTTAGCTTAGGAAGGAATTAACTCTGGTGGAGAAGAAGATGGTAGTGCCTCTCTTTCCTCCCTGCAACTATTTTTCTTCCAGAGCCTTCTGGAATCATGAGGCCACCACAATGGCCACCAGCAGGGCCTGGCCAGCTGTCTCCAACCCTTTGTCCTTGAGGCCAACTTTGGACAAATAAAAATGCTTTAAAAAATTTTAAAATTTGTTAAAATTTTAAAAAGTAAGCTATCTGTCATTCTGCTTAGGTACTTTAAAATTTTTTACTCTAAAGTTTCTCATTTTCTAATTTGGCTAAAATGTCATGCATGGTTCACTAGCACCTATTAGTAGATTATAGGTGTACTACTGTAATTTTGTCATCCCATGCACATCTTGGTAAGAAAGATCCATTTGAAGTTTTTTCTGGGATGTGGAGGTTTCTTTCACTTACGTGTGAAATGCAGTCAGCTTTACAATGCATGTTCAATAACAGTAACACACCTTCAGCCTGAACATGAAGGACTCCTTATAGCGCTTGTTTTAGTGCTTGTTTCTACCAGGCATTTTCCCCTGGGATCACCTAAGACAGTGCCTACCGCTGTGGGCACTGCCCTGAATCACCACTGGTAGGCTATTGGCATCATTCAGTCAGCCTCCAACTCTTCTAGGTGGACGTGAGCACTGGCCCTGAGGTACAGCAGGGAAGTGGGTCATCTCAGCAGGACAGAAAAGGCCAGGTGGAGCCTGCCCCTTGGGCCTGTTTCTCCATCTCCATCTCAGTTCCGGATTAAGGGCTGCACTGGGGAGCCAGGAAGACCTGGGTGAACCCAGCCCAACTTGAGATCCTGGTGTAGAAGCATATTCCTGTGGTCAGCAGAAACCCAGTTGGAATTTTAAAAATGAGCATAAGCCGGGCATGGTGGCTCATGTCTGTCACCCTAGCACTTTGGGAGACCGAGGCAGGAGAATCACTTGAGGACAAGAGTTTAAGATCAGCCTGGGCAACATAGTGAGATCTTGTGACTACAAAAAATAAAAATAAATTAGCTGAGTGTGGTAGCACATACCTATAGTCCCAGCTACTCAGGAGGCTCAGGCGGAAGGATTGCTTGAGCCCAGGAGGCTACAGTGAGCTGTGATCATGCTGCTGAACTCCAACCTGGGCAACAGAGTGAAGCCCTGACTCAAAAAAAAAAAAAAAAAGAAAAAGAAAAGAAAAAAAAAGAAAGAAACTGAGCTTGTCCTATAGAATTAAGGGAGGAATGGGAGACAGCCCCAAAGAGCAGAGCACAGATGAACATCTGTCGTGAGCCCAGCGTCTCCTTCAGAACCCACAGTGGACCCTGAATCACACAGCCGGTGCCTTGAGCAGTTGCCCAGCACAGAGGTCCTCACCGGTCTCTGGTCCCAAAGAGCCCCTTCCTTGAGATGTCCCTTTGTGGATCATCTACAAATCTAGTGACCTCAGCCCCAGATACCCTGCCCTTACCCAGGTTAGCAAGAGGAAAAGTTTGAATTTATTTTTATCAGTGAGATTACTTGGGGGAGGACCAGCTTCTCAGTGGTAGCCAGGAATTAAGCCCTTGAAGGGTTGGAGCCACCAAGCTCAAGTTAATTCCTCCTTGGCAGCTAGAGACAACCCTCACTAGACCAACACACACTGTGTTATTCAGCTGCTCCTTCCCCCTGAGAGTCTGAAATGCCGAAAGTGAGTAGTCATGTTATCAATATGCATGCTCCCACCCTCACCCTTCTGCAGATCTACGACTGCCTCCAGGAATTTAAAGAAAAGAAGCCAGTTCCCGCCACACCCCACGCACAGGCGCTGTCCCAGGAGGTGAGGAGACTTGACTCCGCAGGACAGCAGAACTCTGACATCACCTGTCTTATGCGCAGTGCTAGCTTAAGTGAATGAAAGGCTCTCACGGAAAAGTCTCATTGACGATTACCTGCAAGGGGGACCCAAAAAACCCAGAATTTACTTGTAAAAATTGTGTACTTATCTTACATGTTTAGACTTCAGTTATTGTCAAAGCACCCTCTGTTTGATGTGAAACACCTATCAAGGTGCTTTTTCCATCGCTCAAAACAGTTTTTGAACTCATCAATTTTAATGCCTTTTGGTGCTTCTGTCATTTTTTGGTTTCGCCTCTTCCATATCAGCAAAACATTTCCCTTCGATAACTTGTTTCATCTGAGGAAACAAAAAAAGTCGCTTGGAGTGAGATAGGGTTAATATGGAAGGTGGAGCATGGGGGTCATGCCAATTAGTGATAAAAAACTGTTGAACACTCAGTATGATGTGGACAGGAGCGCTCGTAAATCACCCATCATGAACTGGGCAAATTTGTTAAAAGAATCTCCAAAAAAAAAAATTCACTGAAGCCCAAAGCAGCCTCTCACAGCAATGTTAGCTGGTATGTTGATGCCAATGGGCTCCTAAAGCACTTATCCAGGGGAGAAGCCTGTACTACAAGGGGCCCACCCCCCAAAAGATAATTCTGGGTTTTTTCGGATACCCCCTTGTATCTAATAACGAACTCTAATACAAGGAAGAAAGTTGACTGGCTCTCTCCCCAAATTAACCCTCCCTCCCTCCCTCCCTCCCTCACATACATTTTCGGCACGCATTCATTTCTCTATTTTTTCCCTCAACCTTGAACTCAAAGTGCCTACATAAACAGGGTCATGTTCCAGTAATGATTCACAAGTCTATATCTCTAGCCTGGAGGTCTCCCCAGATCCCAGCCTCAAACATCCAACTGCCTTCTCTCCATCTTACTTGGAGGTTTAATGTGCCTCTCAAGCTTAACATGTCCCAGCATGAGCCCCTGTTCCTTCTCCACCCTGCCCACTCCTATCCCCCTCTCCTGCAGCCTTTTCGAGCTGTCTTGACACCTCCATTCTCATCATCTTTGACGCTCCCTTTCTCTCATAACTCCGAGCTAATCTAATGGCAAATCCTCTCAGCTCTACTTTATTTATTTATTTGGCATCAGAGTCTCACTCTGTTGCCCAGGCTGGAGTGCAGTGACACATTCACAGCCACCCCAGTGTCGACCTACTGGGCTTCAGAGATCCTTCCGCCTCAGTCTTCCAAGTAGCCGGAACTACGGGTGTGCGCTACCATGCTCAGGTAATTTTTTTTTTTTTTTTGAGTTGGAGTCTCAGTCTGTCACCCAGACTGGAGTGCAGTGGCTGCTCCCGGCCACCGCAGCCTCGCCTGCTGGGCTCCGACGATCCTTCCACCTCAGCCTTCCAAGTAGCTGGAATTACAGGCATGCACTATCACGCCCGGCTAATTTTTTGATTTATTGTAGAGATGAGGTCTCGCCTGCCCAGGCGGGTCTCGAACCCACAGGCTCAGGCAATCCACTCACCTCAGCCTCCCAAAGGCGCGGGATTACAGGCTGAGCCACCGAGCCCGGCTCAGGTAATTTTTTATTTACTGTAGAGACGAGGTCTCTCCAAGTTGCCTGGGCTGGTCTCAAACCCACGGGCTCAGGCAGTCCACTTGCCTCGCCTCCCAAAGTGCTGGGATTCCAGGCTGAGCCACTGAACCCGGCCTCACCTCTACTTTAAAAGAGATCTGGAATCTTCCCACCTCTGTGCCACCTGATCTAAGTCATCATCATCACTTACAAAGAACATGCAGTCTAGTCTTCTATCTGGTCTCCTGCCTCCACTCTTGTCCAACACAGCAGCCAGAGAGATTCAAAGCAAGTCAAATTATGCCACTACTCTGCTCCAACCCTTCAAGTGACCTCACCTCTCAGAGTAGTCACCAATATCCTTATGTGGCCACCACACACACATGCCATCAAGCTGCCATGACCTCTTTGATGTCACACTCCTGCTCTCCCCATTTGCTCTGCTCCAACCACGTTGGCCCTTCGTGGTTGTTTGAGTCCATCAGACTTGCTTCCACCACAGGCCTTTGCATGCGCTGTTTTCTTTGTCTGCAATGTGTTGCCCATGTGGCCACATGGTTTGCCCCTCATCTCCTTCCAATTCCACTGAGATGTCACTTTCTCAGTGAGGAGTTCCCTGACCACCTTTTAAATGGCATCCCCTGCTGGCACTCCCAGCTGCCTTCCTTGGTTTATTTCTCTTCTTAACTCTTCTCATCAACAAACAAAACTATTTTACTTATATGTTTTATGTATCATCCGTGTCTCCTCACTAGAATGTGAACTCCATGAGCATGGGGACTTTTGTCTGCCTGTTCACTGTTGTTTTGTATCACCTAAAACAGTGCCCAGTGCCTAGTAGGTGTTCAATAAATACTTGTTGAATGAATGAAGGAATAAGTGTAATCTATTGTATTATTTATTGCCCAAAACACATTTTAAAAAAATAGAAAACAAAAAAGAAAGAAAAGAAACTCTATCCAGTAATCAACAACTCAAATTGTCCCCAGTTTTCCACAGGAAGATATACATATGATGTTTTATTCTACTGTAATCCTGGTGACTGGAGACAAAGATTTGTAAACCGCTAGTTTTTTTTTGTTGTTGCTTTTGACTTTTTTTATTTTAAAGACGTGGGCTACAATTCAGGGTTAGGTATACATATGTTCATTATGCAGGTACCCTTGTGGATGAGGTGTGCCCCCCCAGCAGATTCCCACTACTGCTAATCCCTTTTTTCATTTTTTTATATTATTATTTTTTTATTATCAAGATGTGGGGTACAATTCAGGGTTAGGCATACAAACATTGATTATGCAGGTACCCTTGTTGATGAGGTATGTAGTTTTCATTTGACTGCGTATTATGACGGGAGACTGCTAAAAGTTCATGGGTGGGGATGATTGAGGTCTTGAAAGGTCTTATATTTCCTGAAAGCAGAACATCTAAACCACAGCAGAGGGTTCAGAATTGATTCTGTTTAGCAGTTTTTATTGCAACAAACATTAAATTTGCTAATACAATAACATTCTGAAATAGAAATTTTTATTCCCAGTTTCTATTTGGAGAGCGTCTCATGGGGTTAAGTTCCTGAGTTCCCCAGGAATGTACCTAGAGACATTCATGTAAATGAATAAGCCTGGAAAGCACTGACATTAGCAAACAGCTATTTTAGAGTCATAGAGGAACAGCACCTTGGTACACATGCAGTTATAAAATTAGTCCGTTCTTCCTCCGAGTCTCCATGTTAGGGTTTAGCATGATCCCAAATCTCAAATTCTACTTGCTGTAGCAAAGTGTACTGAATAAAAAGACAGTAGGTTCCTGACTGTAAAGGTGATTTTTAAAAAGTTCCAATAACTGCCTGCTGAAGGTCGACAGCACGTTAGTAGATGTATTTGTTATCCAGCCTGGGTGAGAATAGCCAGGGGATAAAGTTTATTTTAATGTCATGGTGTATGTTTTTCCATGAACCAGGTAGTGGAGCTGTTACTGGAGACTCCACCTTCCCCTGAGATCCAAGAGCTGAGACGGACCCTCCAGGCCCCGCACTTCAAGGCAGGTGCTTGCTGAAACAGAAGAGATATGCCCAGCCAGCACATTAAGGGATCTGGGAAGAAGAAATAACTGTGGTGGGAAATGTGCTCTCGGAATAGACATCCTGTTACTGTACATGGGTGGCCAATGGGCTGTCTCAAACATGTGGAACATGATGTGACAGGCTCAGTGTTGTCAATCATGCATGAGGCAGCATCTAGAACATTCCATGGTCTCTTGTTTATCCCACAAAGCCATGGTCCAAGAAGCACACATACCTCCTTTTCAACTTGGGAATTTTTTACATTTTGGATATGTACAAAGGTGTTTGGAATTTATAGCATAATGATGGTTACTCCTGAGAAGGGGTGTATGAGGAACATCTGATTACAGAACGGAAACCTACGTCTTAGTACTTACAGATTTGGAGATTAATCTATCAACAGATTAGAACTTCAAAAAAATCTCTGCACTGGAATTTATGAGCCAAAAATTATAGTTCACAAGGCAACCATCCATTATCAAATATCGTCAACAGCACACACTACTTGGAGAATTGTCTCTGAGTTGCAACTAAATCCTGTCTGCCAATCTCAGGCAGGGCTGTAGAATGACAATTTCTCCACCCCATGAAATGAAAATTTAATATGGTGGGCTTTTTGAAGAAACTCTGATCCTGTCCTAGACTAGGGAGCTACTTTTCATTCTATTCCACACAGGCACTTGGGTATTACTGATGAATTAAGCTGCAAGATGTTTTATGACTGTCTTTTATTTTGTCTTAATTAGGAAAAATATTCCAAAGTTGTTTTGTAGTTCAAACTTGATAGGAACCCCATAGATTACATGGGCTTCCAGAAAATAAGAACAATATATCTTAGCAGAAATGAACGAGTATATTATTCATTGCATATAGATCTGTTCCTTGTCCCCTTATCTTACCAGGGACAATAAGTGCACCTGCCTCATAGAATTATTGTGAAGATTGAATTTATTCACATAAAATGTGTAGAACCATGCTTGGTGTGTACATGTTCAGTGTCTGTTGTTGCTGTGTGTCTTCCATAGTACTGAGTCGCCATCTTCTAGATGGCTGTATACTACGTATTACATGTTCTCACCTTTTCCTTCCCTGTCTAGGCATTGCTTAGTGCCCATGACACGGTAGCTCAGAAGGACTTTGAGCCCCTTCTCCCCCCACTGCCAGACAACATCCCTGAGAGTGAGGAAGCAATGCGGATTGTTTGTTTGGTGAAAAATCAGCAGCCCCTGGTAAGGAAGTCATTTTACCTTTTCATTTCGAATTATACCAGGGTTCATGGTGAGCTAAGTTCTGTCTAGTAGTTACCAGGGCAGTCATCTTATCTGTGTTCAAACATACAAGGTGGGACTCCAAAAAACCTTGACATTTATTTATTAAAAATTGTGTATTTATTCTTACATGTTTAAACTTCAGTCACCATCAAAGTACTCTCCATTTGATGCAAAACACCTACTGAGGTGCTTTTCCACTGCTCAAAACCATTTGTGAACTCATCCATTTTGATGCCTTTTAGTACTTCTGCTGTTTTTTGTTTCACCTCTTTCACATTGGCAAAATGTTTCCCTTTGAGAACTTTTTTTCATCCACGGAAACCAAAAAAAAATTGTTTGAGGCTAGTTTGGGTGAATAGTGGGGCAAGGGGGGTCATGCCTTTTTTGGTCAAAAACTGCTAAACACTCAGTGTGGTGTGGGCAGGTGTGTCGTCATGATGGAAGAACCAGTCACCTGTTTGCCACAACTTGGGAAATTTCTTCCACAAATCATGACACAACCTCAACACTTCCAGATAAAAACCTTGGTTGACCGTTTGATGCAGAGGAACATATTCCGAGTACCGCAAACGGCCCACCCTCCAAAGAATAATTCTGGGGTTTTTTTGGTCTCCCCTCATATAGTGCTGATAATGACTGCAATCTGTATGATTTTTGCCTGCGGCTTCAAACATGTTACATGTCATAATGTTTTCACTAAGGAAAGATTTCTGCCCAGGGTTTTTCTTCTTTGAAAAGTAAGACAAGATTTACAGATATTTTGGGGGGAAATAAGATGTACATATTTTATTTTATTCTTTGGCTTTCGGACGTGCATGCATTTCACTCAATTCCAATGCATTTGCCTAAATTCTTCTCCTTCTATTAATGGGAAGATAAGTAAGGCATTAATTTGGTTTTCTAAGAATAACCCCTCTAATTAGGCTGTAATTGTGGGAGCTTTCTTTATCTATGGAAGGATCGAAGTATACTTTTATGTCTATGTGTTTGGATTGAGACCTCAGGAAACCAAAGTTGGACAGTCTTTCCTTTTTTGTTTTTAGAAACAGTTTTGCTCTGTTACCCAGGCTGAAGTGCAGTGACATGATCATAGATAACTACATTTCAAATTCCTGGGCTCAGGCAATCCTTCTGCCTCAGCCTCCCGAGAAGCTAGGACTAAATTTTTTAATTGGTTTTTGTAGAGACAGGGTCTCAAACTCCTAGCCTCAAACGATCCTTCCACCTTAGCCTCCTAAAGTGCCGGAACTACAGGTGTGAGCCACTTCCTCCATCCTGGTCCTTCCTTTTTGATGACATGGTACAACTGACAGGCCACAGGGCAATTTCTGGCTGGTGTTAATATCCTTGTCTGAAAGACCAGAGCTGCAACACTTGAGGGAATCCACTGGAAGAAATGTCTTGTGAGGTATCAGAGGGATCTTCTGTATTCTCTCTCCAGGGAGCCACCATCAAGCGCCACGAGATGACAGGGGACATCCTGGTGGCCCGGATCATCCACGGTGGACTGGCTGAGAGGAGTGGTGAGCTGGAGTGGCAGGGGACAAGTGTTACCAGATAAACAGAAGCCTTGACTGTTTAGACTTCTTCCCAGAGAAATGCCCACTTCCCAGCTTAGGCCAAGGCCTTGTTAAGTCCCACTGCTTGGTTAAAGCAATGAAGAAAGAAGGAACAACTATTCCAGCGAAGTCTTACTCCCCTCCTTTGCCTCATCCCTCCCATCCTAGGCACCACATTCACGACCTCAAAGGCAAGGATTGTAATGCCGTTTTACAAAGGAGAAAACTGAGGCTGGAGGAGATTAGGAAGCAATTCACTTGCTCACGGTTACACAGCTTGAGTCAGGCTCCAAGCCCGGGCCTGCCTGGCTCTGTATTCCCAGATTATTCTTTCCATTTGGTCCTCTTGCTTCCAAAAGGGCTTATGTCTTCCCCATCATGAGATGCCTTTGCATCTTCTCCCAGGCAGCCAGATGTTTGCCCTTTCACCACTCTGCTTCTGAAATGTGTACTTCTCCACCTGCTGCCCCTCGGCCTCAGCCCCTACAGCCCCTGAGACCCTGCCACCATCTCCTTGTGAACACCGAGGGTCCCCTCACTTCACAGGCCCCTCCTTCTCCCTCAGTTTTGATTCTGCTTTTCTACCACATGTGATGCTATCGACACCTCGTCCTTGGCTTTTGTCCTGTGATATACTCCCACTTCTGGTCTCATCTCTCCGATGACGCCTCTGTTTTACCTCGTACTTCTCAAGGGTTACTCTTGAACCCCAGGATTCTCTGCCTTTCCTCTTTTGAAGAAGACCTCCCCCATCTCCTCTTCATATCTCATCTGTGGACAACCCCACCCTTTCTGTTTTTGGTGCTATCTTCTTACCAGTGCTCTGGTTCCATTTGACAACATCAGATTAGCAAAGAATTTTTAAAAACCCATCAGTGAACACCAAGTGTGGGTGAAAAGGTGTAAAAATGGAATGCACACACATTCCTGGTGGCCGTGCAAGTTGGAATAACCAGGTTGTTTCACTATTATTCTTTTACAATAAATTAAAATTTTTTGTTTTTGTTTTTTTGAGTTGGAGTCTCACTCTGTCACCCAGACTGGAGTGCAGTGGCCGCTCCCGGCCACCGCAGCCTCGACCTGCTGGGCTCCGACGATCCTTCCGCCTCAGCCTTCCAAGTAGCCGGAATTACAGGCATGCGCTACCACGCCCGGCTGATTTTTTGATTTATTGTAGAGATGAGGTCTTGCTGCCCAGGAGGGTCTCGAACCCGCGGAATCAGGCGATCCACTCACCTCAGCCTCCCAAAGGCGCGGGATTACAGGCTGAGCCACTAAGCCTGGCTTAAATTAAAATTTTAGAGGATGCTTGGGTGAGCGCATTTGCTAGGTAGCTGTTGGGATCGCTACCTCTGTTTTTGTTTTTGTTTTTAATCTTTCTCTGTGTCCTGTGTTTTCTGTCTCTGTCTGCCTAGGGTTGCTGTATGCTGGAGATAAACTGGTGGAAGTGAACGGAGTTTCTGTTGAGGGGCTGGACCCTGAGCAAGTGATCCACATTCTGGTAACCATCTTCTTCTTCCCTTTTTGTTCATCACATAGTGAGATGCCCAGGCTGACCTGGGCCTGCCAGGCCCATGTGTGTGTTGTCTGGGACGGGATTCAGGTCCTCTTGGAGGTTTCCTCCCTCCAGGCCCCCAGACCTCATCTGTGGCTGTAGCAGGAAAAATAGAGAGATCGTGACATTGAGACTATTATAGGAAGTGGCACTTTATTACACTGGCTAGCACAGCGGGCTCAATGGAACTAATGCGTCCAAACCGAGCGCCCCAGAACAGGAGATCTGGGGTCTTATACCCTCGTTTAGGTAAGGGAGGGGAGTCGTGTGGAGTGATTACATATTTTCTTTGGAATCTTACAAGGTTGTACTCAGCAAAAATCAGATTTTTCAAAGAACAAATGGTTTCCAGGAACTGCAGGCTTGTAAACCGTCAACTTCAGAAAGGGGGTTTTAGATAAGACTCTTCCATTTCCATGAAATAGCCAGTCTCTGGGCCATTTGGTCTTTCTTAAACAAAACCTGCTCGGTGCCTGGCGGGTCTTTAAAGTTGCAACTTGCCTTTCAAAAGGAAATACTTTTAACTGCTATTAACCCCTCCTTCTTGCCACTGGGGTAGTGGCAGCCCAGGTGAGGCCAACTGCTGATCCCAAATCAGCTACATGTGTTTCTGTGTTTATTCACTCAATCATACAAGAAATATATTTGAGCATTTGCTGCATCCTGCCACATGGCCACGCTCGTTGACTACCCTCCTCCACCCCCAGAAGTTTGGCCTCCAGCTGGGAAGCCTCCCTTCCCAAGCTGCTCCTTCAGCCTCAGGGGGACTGCCCCTGGCTCAGGCTCCTCATCCCCTGGGTTGCTCCATTGAAAACTGACTCCGTGGCCAGGCTTGGTGGCTCAGCCTATAATCCCAGCACTTTGGGAGGTCAAGGTGATTGGTTGCCTGAGCCCGCGGATTCGAGACCTCTCTACAATAAATCAAAAATTAGTCGGGTGTGGTAGTGTGTGCCTGTAGTTCCAGCTACTTGGAAGGCTGAGGTGGAAGGATCGCTGGAGCCCAGCAGGTCAACATTGGGGTGGCTGTGAGTGTGCCACTGCACTCCAGTCTGGGCAACGGAGTGAGACTCCAACTTAAAAAAAAAAAAAAAAAGAAACTAACTCTGTGACAGGCAGAGTGAAACATTTGTCTTTGTTTTTGTTTTCACTTTGAGATAGAGGATCATTCTGTCACCCAAGATGGAGTGTGATGGCGCAAGCATAGCTCACTGCAGCCTCAAACTCTGGGGCTAAAGAATCCTCCTGCCTCAGCCTCCCAAGTAGCTGGGACTACAGGCATAGGTCATCGTATCTGGACAATTTTTATTTTTTTTCTTTGTAGAGACAGGGTCTCCCTCTGTTGCCCAGGCTGGTCTTGACCTCCTGGCCTCAAGCGATCCTCCTGCCTTGGCCCCCCAATGTCCTGGGATTACAGTCATGAGCTTCTGAGCTCCAGAGTGAAACTTTGGAGAACAATCTCAACCTAAGCAAACCACCCCCTCTCCCCACACTTTTATGCAGCTGGGATCTGTTCGGCATCTTCCTTGAGGACAGCTTCGGGGCAGAAAGAAGTCATGAGATGGCAGCCTATGGGGAGGGGGATGGTCTTGGTGACCCTGCTACTGCTCCTTGTGGTTGGAGCTGAGGGTTTGTCGCCCAATTAGATGAGACACTGGTCTCTATTCGCTTCCCACTTCTACCCTTCACACCATTCCCTCAATCGCAGTTGAGTTGTTAGCAGCCCTAGCAGCATGTTCCCCCTGCTTCCCCCATGCACACCCCAAATGTGAGGCTTGAGACTGATTAATATATAGTAGAAGCCGGGCTCGGTGGCTCAGCCTGTAATCCCGCGCCTTTGGGAGGCTGAGGTGAGTGGACTGCCTGAGCCCGCGGGTTCGAGACCTGCCTGGGCAGCGAGACCTCATCTCTACAATAAATCAAAAAATCAGCCGGGCGTGGTAACGCATGCCTGTAATTCCGGCTACTTGGAAGGCTGAGGCGGAAGGATCGCCGGAGCCCAGCAGGTCGAGGCTGCGGTGGCTGGGAGCGGCCACTGCACTCCAGTTTGGGGGACAGAGTGAGACTCCAACTCAAAAAAAAAAAAAAAAAAAAAAAAAAAAAAATATATATATATAGTAGATAGACTTGTGGTTCTCAAACTGGGTTCCTGGGGGAGTGCTGGGTTTACACAGCGATGGCTTAGAGACTGAGGTGGTTTTGTAGGACAAGCCCTGCAAAATCTCACAAGCCACTGCTGCAAGATTCTGTGTGGCATACGAGGGAGTCTGGAGTCCTGTAGGGAGTATAGAGGGAGTCTGGAGTCCTGTACCTCACAGACATGCATGTTTCTACCTCGGCCCTTCCTCCGCCCGTCGTGGGGTTGTGCATGTAGAATCATGAAATTCCTAAGAGAAAGAACGGGGTCCTGTTCATCTCTAGATGTATCTGTCACAGTGTATGTCACAGACAGATTTCTACCTCCCCCATCATGCTAGAAGGGTCTCTGTCTCCCCCATCAGTTTGAGGGCTCTCCATCTCCACCCTTAGCTTGAATGCTTGTCAGTTTTCCCAGGAAGGAGGTGAGGAGGGTAAGTGAGATGGAGATCTCATCTCTTCCCCCAGGGCTGTGCAACAAAGACCTTACTGGGTGGGGTGTTTCTTTCTTTCTTTCTTTTTTTGCATTGGAGTCTCACTCTGTCGCCCAGGCTGGAGCGCAGTAGCATGCTTACGGCCACCCCAGCGATGACCTACTGGACTCCAGCGATCCTTTTGCCTCAACCTTCCAAGTAGCTGGAACTACAAGCGCATGCTACCATGCCCAGCTAATTTTTTATTTATTGTAGATATGAGGTCTCGCCAAGTTGCCCAGGTTGGTCTTGAACCCACGGGCTTAGGCAATTCACTTGCCTCGGCCTCCCAAAGTGCTGGGATTATAGGCTGAGCCACTGAGGGTTTGTCAGTGGGTGAAAGGTTCCTGGAAGAGACCATTTCAGTGTGGGTTTTATCAGACCAGTGACCTGGAGCCCCACAGCAGGGTAAGAGCACAGCTAAGCTGAGTCCTCATTTCCGCCTCTAGGTGGGGACTGTCAAACAGTTGAACCCTTGTGGAAATCTCTTTGGGGAATGTTACCAGTAGACCTGGACACATTCAGCTGTAACTCTGTTCTCCAGACCTCAGGAACTCTTCTGGTTTTGTGACTTGCCATCCTTCCCCTTTTGTCATTTTCTAGGCCATGTCTCGAGGCACGATCATGTTCAAGGTCGTTCCAGTTTCTGACCCTCCTGTGAACAACCAGAAGATGGTAAGAGTGCACTGGACCCTTGGTCTCACACCCAGTAAATCCCCAAGTAGCAACAACAGTGACTGTGATATAGAATGTTGCTATCCTATTATATGTTGAGTATGGGTTCAACATTGGTTTTATTTTATTTTTTTTAGTTGAGGTCTTACTCTGTCACCCAGGCTGGAGTGCAGTGGCACAATCATGGCTCACTGCAGCCTCTGTCTGCGGGGCTTAGGCAATCTTCCCACCTCACCCTCCCCCAAGTAGCTGAGACTACAGGCACACACCCCCACACCCAGCTAATTTTTTTTTTTTTTATAGCAATGAGGTCTCAATATGTTGCCCAGGCTAGTCTTGAACTTTTGGGCTCAAGCAATCCTCCCACCTTGGCCTCCTAAAGTGTTGGGATTACAGGCATGAGCCACTGCGCTTGGCCATATTTTTCAATACTGATGGCCTGAGGGACAAAATGAGTAAATGAAGACAGTAAAAGGAATAGGGTTCCAGGGAGTCTAGAAGCAACATCACAAATGGTGAACGTTTGAACAAAAACTTCTCAGAGCTAAGAGATGCTATTCCCAAAGATACCTTTTTCTGTGGTACTTAGACTCAGTCCAGGAGGCAAGTTCTCTTTTTTGGTGAGGGTGGAGAGGAAAGACAGGAGTAGAAAGTGGGGTGGGAGAAACGGTGTGAGCTGTGCCAGTCCATGGGCAAGGGTTCTTCTGATGGTGCCATCCTGCCCCTGCCACCAGGTGTATGTACGAGCCATGACGGATTACTGGCCCCAGGAGGATCCCGCCATCCCTTGCATGGATGCAGGATTGCATTTCCAGAAGGGTGATATCCTCCAGATTGTGGACCAGAATGATGACCTCTGGTGGCAGGCCCGTAAGATCTCAGATTCTGCTACCTGCGCTGGGCTTATCCCTTCTAATCACCTTCTGAAGAGGTAAGGAGAGTTGTCCTTCCTGGACTCAGGACTGGGCCATCAGGAAATAAGTTATTTTCCTCTGGCTTGTCACTGCAGTTAGGTTAAGATAAAGAGACACACGTGGATGGATGGACACAAACACACCCTGGTTTATAACTCTGTATGTCAACTTATTGATGATAGACCCTGAGCATTTTAAATACCAAGGGGACCAGAATAATCACAGCTAGAAAAAAGAGCAAAGTGCTTGGGAAACAAAATGAAACTTAAAAGCACTAGAGTCTGAGTGTTTGTGTCCCCTCCAAAAGTCATATGTTGAAATCTAATTCCAAAGGAGGTGGGCCTCCAGGAGGCGAGGAGGTTATGAGGGTAGAGCACTCGTGAATGGGATTCGGGACCTTATAACAGAGGCCCAGTTGCACTTGTCTGCCCCTCCTGCCATGGGGGGACACGACTCAGAGGCGCCCCCTTCTGCCATGTGAAGATGCAGCTAAATGGCACCATCTGTGGGGCAGAGAATGGGCCCTCACCAGACACAGAATCTGCCAGTGGCTTGATCTTTGATTTCCAGCCTCCAACACTGTGGAGCAATGCATTTCTGTTGTTTATAAGCCATCCAGTTTCTGGTACTTTGTGACAGCAACCCGAACAGACTAAGATAAAAAGGCCTGAATCTTTCAAGACTGAGTGGAGACCTCAGCTACTGAATTTCAATCCACTGCTCCCACCTTACGCTGCGGAGGTTTGGTGAGATCCCAAGGGAGCGAGTGAAACCAGGAGGGAGAAGCCATTGAAGGCTCAGTAGATGGTAAGAGATAAGAGGAAATGGAACTAGCAAAGGAATTGAGAAGAAATGATCGGGGAGGCAGAATGATAGTCAAGTCCATGTGGGCTCTTCATCAGTCATATCAATGCTGCTGAGAGGGCTGAGACAGCCTGGATTTAGCAATATGGAGGTCATTGCAGGTCTTAATGAAAGTGGTTTCAGTGAAAGTGGGGCCAAAACCCTTATTAGAGTGGGGCGGTGAAGGAATGGAGGGCAATAAGCCTGGAAAACTCTCTGAGACATTTTGGTATAAAGCAGAGCAGGGCAATGGAGAAACAGCTAGAAGGGAGGGCAGAGCGGTATGAGAGAAATTTCTAGAGGGGTGAATAAAGCTCGTGGGAGTGCCCAGTGAGAGGGAAAATGTTTATGATCCAGGAGGAGGAGAAGAGAATTGCTGTGGCTGATGTCCTCAAGCATCGAAGGAGATGTGCCCTGTAGACAAGCAGAGGCGTTGACCTGATAGGCTTGTCGTGAACAGCCATCCATGGGAGTGGTGCCAGGAGGGAAGGTCAAGTAGGTGGGCTCAGCTGATGGTGGGGAACATGGCGTGAGCTTGCAGAATGTCTCTTCCAACAGCTCTTATTTTCCCGCTGAATTGAGAAGCAACATCATATGCAGAGAGCAGGGTGGGTGGGGAGGTGCTGGGAAGGAGAGGAGGCAGCTCAAGAAGTTTCCATAAGGCTGGAGAGCACGTGGACTAGGTAAATATTGCATGAGTTAAAGGTCATACACTTGAAGGGGCTCTAGGGTGCAGGTGCAGTTTAGACAGAGGGCTGGATTTAAAATGAGAGAGAGCCTAGTGGGTGGCTGTAAGGATGGACTGGGGCATTTAAGCTACTGAGGAAGGAGGTAAGGATGTGCAGCAGGTGAAGTCGGTGAGAAGGAAATAGGACCAATGGGTTGTAGGTTCTTATGGGGTCTGATCATGGGGTTTGGGAGATGGGAGGGATTGGCAGGAGAAAGGGGCGCCACAAGTTGAAGTTAAGGAGTGACTGCAGTTTTCAACACCGAAAAGGTCTTGGGTAGGACATCGGGCAGCAGTGGCTGGGGTAGGACAAGGTGGCGGTCACTGGGAAAGAGATCAAGTCCTGAGAACCAGGGTGCTGGGAAAGCATTATTGTGATTATTAAAACCGAGAGCCCGGGTGCGGTGACTCAAGTCTGTAATTCCAGCACTTTGGGAGGCAGAGGCGAGGGGATTGCCTGAATCCAGAGGTTCGAGACCAGCCTGGGCAACTTGGTGAGACCTTGTCTTTACAATAACTCAAAAAATTAGCCAGGTATGATAGCTGCACCTGTAGTTCCAGCTACTTGGAAGGCTGAGGCCAAAGGATCACCTGAGCCCAACAGGTCGAGGCTGTGGTGGCTGTGAGCATGCCATTGCTCTCCAGTCCAGAGTGAGACTCCAACTCAATAAAAAAATTAAAAAAAAATTAAAACCTGCGAGAGCTAGGACAGCATGGTGCTGAAGAGTATGGGTGCCAAGGGAGGATCTGGCGATGGCTCCCGGGAAAGCAGAGGGATGATAGTCCAAACTGGGGCTCCTAGGGAGAGGGAGAATGATCTAGAATGGCAGTCAGAAGGAAGGACACCCCCCACCTCACCTCCAGACCCATGGATGAGGGCTTCACCCAACAGCCCGCTGAAGTCATCAACATATCACGCCCATGTTCATGTTCTGTGGCTGCAAGCCAGCTGCAGTGACAGTGTCCACACTGTAGAGATCAGCAGGCTCCAAAGCAGGGCTCCCTTCCCCCAGAGCTGCCTCTCCAGCACACATCAGGGGAGGGGAGGGAACACTCTCCTTTGGAAGGTTGCAGGGGAGAGCAGCGACCTCAGAGGGAGCTGGGGGCCAGGCAGAGCAAGGTGCAGGGCGCCAGGAAGAGGCTGAGGTTTGTGTTCGAAGATTTGTTGTGGGTTCCAGAGGCCACGAGCAGTG